TATGTCATATACCATAGATAAATGCAACAAGTTTAGATTGGAAAGCCCGTACAAATTTTAGGTCGCGAAATTATTTTGGGTCGCGGCCGTTATACGCGATCTGGCGCTGCTATAGCAGTCGCTAAGAACAACGGCAAACAAAAACAGAAATAATTTTCTCTTGTCAAAGTCAGAATCTTCAAAAATCATAATAATCTTTCAAAATCTAAACCGCTCTCATTAAAGAAATTCCGAAAAGTGTTTATGGCGTCCATTTTCAAAGTAATTATTGCTATCTTGTAAGTTTAATTCAAGTTTTATTTACTCCAACCGGTGATAATTGTGAAAAAGTGGCATTAAAAACTTAAAAAGCTGTGCTGTGAACTGTGAACTGCAAAAATCATCGTGGATCGTGGCATAACGTCGGTTTCCAATGTTTCATAGGTATTTCATACATGCGTCCTTATATAAAATAAAGTTTCTTGTATGCAACACACTGTCCTTTATTTATAAAATTAAACGAAAATAATAATAAATTTGAATAAACAATATTTGGCGATATAATTCCGGAAAAAGCCGAACCGCTCCGAAATTTTCAAAAGTTTTGGGTCGTGACCGTTGCAAGAATAGCGCCAAATAGTGTTTACATTGTCCTTATGGGCACTTTCCAATCTAAACTTGTTTCATTTATCTATGTTATATACTAACATACCAAATCTCGTTGTTTTATCTGAAAAAATAAAAAAGTTACAGGGGGTGAGCCACTTCTGAGACGCATCCGATATACAGGGTGAGTCTTAAATAAGTGCAAATATTTTAAGGGGTAGTATATTTCGACCCCAGAAATACGATTATTATTTTTTTTTCGCGAAAATTTTTTTTTTTCGAAATTTGGAATTTTTTTAAAAAAAATTTGAAAATTCGGAATTTTTAAAAAAATTGAAAATTCGGAATTTTTAAAAAAAATTTTGAATTTTTTTTAATTTTTAGTTAAATAATATAATTTGGTGATAATATGGCGACATAGGTAGTAGATTGAATTTACAAGAAAGGAAATCCAGAAAAGTTCTAGTGATTCTCAAAATTTTAGCAAAAAATCATTTTTTTAGAAATTTTCAAAGTAAAATATCTCCATTATTTTAGATTTATTTGAAAAACGGTAAAGAGAAAATATGTTTCTTTTATCGAGATCTACCAGCCCAGAAAATATTTGCACTAATTTAAGACTCAACCTGTATTGTGCACCACAGAAAATTCTAAAGTCGGTACATTATTTGACTCCCTAATATTTTAAAAATATTTTATAAAATAAAACAAAAAAACTGAAGAAAATTAAAAAATGCTTAAATGTCGTAGAATTTAATAAATTACACAAACTTTGTACTGGTTATAAAAAATCTATGCTAAAAAGTTTTTTAGTCTTTCTTAAACATTACCAAAGTTTCTAAAGTATATCTCTTTTCTCTCCTCTAGTACCTTTTTAATTAAAATCATTAATCTGGCGCTTTTATGCAAGCGTCTGTAATAAAAAGAGATAGTCGTCTATTAAAAAGGGATAAAAGTTTCCAGAAAATCACGCGATTCTATAGAGAAATCCATTATAATTTCCTTTTTTATTCATCTCTCCTTTTAAAACTTGCCAGAAGACCATTTCCAATAAAAAAGAATTCCAGCTTTTCTATTATGGTTTGAAATGACTGTGCTTTTTTAGTATAATGTCAAATGTCAACGAAATATCACGAAAAAATCTCCTGACATGTGTTATTAAAAAGTAGTGTTTGGATCAATGACTAAAGAATAGAAGGACATGTAACGCCCCTATACGGGCTGCAGCAGAATTTAGAGACCTTTCTTTTGGTGGCAAACAATGAGTCATCATTTGGTCACCAGCGACAATTTTAGCGATTTTTAATAGTTTGTGTGTAGTAAACTTTGTATAAACTTTATTACAATGGTGGTTAGTTGTTCACCTTTCAAGTGTAAAAGCAGCAGCGATGAGAAAGAGCCAGGAGTTACGTTTCATAGGTAAATGAACAGTCCACTCCAACTTTTTAGCGTTTTCTTATTGAATTCGATAATTATTCTTCAATTTCAATTAACAATTTTGTTAACATTTTAATACGTTTTTTTCGTAATTAATTAGGATGACACACCATAGGCGTAGTCAAAACAATTATCAAAAAATATAAATATTGCTTCAAACAGCTAGGTTAAGAAAAATATGTACCACGGCACTGTTTGGTGTCATCGTCACAATTTGCTCTCGGGTGTTATTTGTCCTTGGATTCTTTAGTCATTGGTTTGCATTTAGATAACTGATGTATTTGTAATATGTGACAGAAAATATAATGCCGGTTTTAACCAAGGCAACAAAGATTAAACACGTTTTTGAGACAAAGACAAGACAAACTTGCGACAAAAAATGGGGAATTCTGAGAAACTTGAGACAAATTGTCGACACCGCAAGGATACAAGTACAACAAAGTCTAAAGTTTAGTTATTGCGAATGAATTTTATTGACCATGATGTGATTTGTGATGTGTGATTGATGTGATTTCTGTGGTATCCTACAGTTGGCAGCACACGCCATCCACACTGCGCCGACAACTTGTCGTAAAATATACGAACAAAACATAGACACTTTGATCTTTACCGACTCGAGACGGGACATTGAAAAGTCTCCGAATTTTGAAACAAAACAAAAATGAGACAAAAATGTCGCAGAAATGTATTGGATTTGTCGCAATTTTGTCGTAAAACATTAATGTTTCTGTCTTGTCGTTGTTTTGTCTGCTTGATAAGGACCCGGCGTAACATTTGAATTGGTACTGTTTTGTGCTTGCAGTAGACCAAAGTACCGTATGATCGAAAAAAAAACGGCGTCCAGTTGGCTGATGGGAAATGACGATCGATGACATTTCCCATATAAATTTACATATAAAATGACAGCGATCTCAATTTCATAGCCATCGCTGACGCCGTTTTTTCTCGATCATACGGTATTTGAATTACAAGACAGAAAGAAAATATCAACATTAGAGTATGATCTATAAAAACTGTTTTTTTTTTCAAACGATACAAATAATTTTTTAAGCAATTTCAAACGTTCAAAATAATATAAAAAGATTTAAAAGTAATACCACAGATTAGGTATATGTATACAGATAAAAATCTTATCCCTAATTCGTGGTACAAAAATTGTTTTTTATGACGATGTGCAAACGAGTAAAATTTCCTGTGCGCAAAAATAAACTCGCGAAATAAAAATAAACAGCATAATAGAGAGATATCGCCAAACCGAATAGCGTGCATGGACGTTAATAAAGCCATTTAAGGTGTTATTTCCGTTACGTGAGGTGGTATTAACTCTCTTCATTTATAGTTATCGGATCGGAAAGAATTCTGTTCGCGTCGCGTCCGCTATTTAAACTTAACCCAACTTTGAATTTAAAACTTTGAAATTGTTTTGTTTACTAGGTATTTTAAAACTAGGGCTAAAGTGCTTATTTCCAGTGCTTTATTGTTCAACGTCTGCCAGTGGGTTTAGGGCAACAAGCAACAAATTCTCTTAGAAGGGCTAAGTCGTCATCTGCTGTAAACCTAAGCCTCTTTATAGGTTCTTTAATATTGGAAGAGGTGGAATCCATATTTTGGGCCATATTTATTTAATTAAAACTAATCCCAGCTACTTAAATATCAAATTATCTAATAAAACTAAAGTAATAATTCAAAACAATTCAAACATAACCTAAAATAAAAGATGCACGCCTGCCGGCCCCGGTTGTCAAATACCCGCACATCCCCATTTAAACAATTTTTAAACGTTATTTAGAAGGTCTGTTCTCAGAAGAATCTCTGACTAGTCAGCACATTTTTTATTAGTTTAAATGAGTAGAAACCTTGTTTGTCAGGTTTCTACGCATTTCAACCAATAAGAAACGCGCTGACTAGTCAGGGATTCTTCTGAGAACAGACCTAGAAATAGCGCTTGGTGTAATTGATCCGCAAATTACGTCAGGCGGTAACGTTATTAGCGGGTGTTGTGTTAAAAATTGACTCGCGCATATCGTAACCATGATAAGGTACGCGTAAATACTGCATGACGCTATTCGGTTTTCCGATATCTCTCTAATAACTGTGCCGGTCAGGCGTGCAGCAATTTTATCCATAAAAACGGCGTATCGGCGTAACGGCGTAGTAACCTTGAATAGATTTCCAGTAATTCTATTGGCTGAAACATTCATCTGTCAGAAATTTTATCTGTCAAATTCATCTGTCAAAAATTTCAGCCAATAGAAGTACTGGAAATCTATTCAAATCGATACGCCGATACAGCTAAATGATTCTGCACTCCCTCAGGCACTGCACAGTTTAGAGGCCATAAGTGGGCGTGCTATGTGCGCAAACTAGTAACCTAACTAGTGCCCGATTCCGAAAATTGGAACCACGAAAAACAATAAAGAAAAAACAAAGTTTATAATCTGTATAATCTGTGGTAATACCTTGTATGTAATTTTAAAGGGAATATATCGAGAAATTATGGTTACGCTCGTTGAATTTGACACTTCATGTCAGTTTAATAATATATTTTCGTACTTTTCTGCTTAGGCGTAAAAATGATTTACTTTTATGCCTAGGCGTTAAAATGACTTTTTTATATTGTCAATCACGTCGCTAAAATTAATACTTTTGTGACGTTTGAAAAAAGGGAATATTAATGAGATCGTCCAATATTAAAAAGGGACAAAACTTCAAAAAAGTAGGCGTTTTATATGAAAATCCTTTATTATTTTCAATTTTTTTTTCGTTTGCACAAAATTTTAAGCTTGGTCTTTATTAAAAATAAATTCCCATTTTTCTAATAATGTTTGAGTAATGCCAACGAAATGTTACAAAAAAAAACATATCTTGACAGAATATATATTACTAAAAAGTCGTGTTTGTATTAGATAACTGTATTTGCACTACATGGCAGGAGAGAAATAACATTTGCACTGCTATCTTTATAGTTTATTTTGTCAGTTTCTGTGCTTAGTGGTTATTAGTAAATTTAAGTGTTTTAATAATAAAAAAAATACAGTTATGCTTGGTCCACATTATTTATAAGTTATAGATTCGTTATAATAAAGTAAGTAAAGTATATACAAATTTACACAGAACAATATTTTATTTTATAAATAGTATACGGTCGAAAAAAAACAGCGTCACGGTGGTCTTTGAAATAAGTGTTTAGAACTTCTTTTATGTCAGTTAAAAGGAGGGATTAAATATTACTAATAATAACTAGTGTATGAACTGAAAGTTTTACCTGCGGTTTTCGATAAGTTTTTGTACAAAAGAACCTTAAATTTTACTACAAAATTGTATTTTTATAATATATACCTTGTGCGTCTCGTAAGTGGCTCACCCCCTATAACTTTTTTATTTTTTCATAAAAAAACGATTTGGTTTGTTAGTATATGACATTAATTGGCGTATTCAATTGTTTTTGGTCACTTCCTAATTCGCCGGAAATGACAACAACGTTTGATTTTTAAATGACACCCTCGACGGGTATTTTTCTACTTTGTTCGACAGAAAACGACACTCTTAATAGAATGACATATCATAAGTCAACTTTTGACATTTTGGCTTTAAAAAAAATCGTATTTTGAATTTGAATATAGAGTGCCATGGATGTGTTAAAAACAGTAATGTAATTTTTAATCAACGAGCCTTTGAAAAATATATTTGATCGCCTAATATTTTTCGTGTCTTTTCCTGGCCGGTTAAAAGATGCCCAAATCTTATTTTTAATCATATCTCAATTTTTTCAAATAGGAAAAGGTTAGCTCATTAATATTTGGAAAAAGCATTTTTTACGAATAATTTGGTACCACACATTTGGTATTTCGAGTCAAATTGTCGTTATGAACCACATGTTACGATTTCAAATAAACCATATGCGAAAGTGTCAAAAGTTGACATATGATATGTCATTCTACTCAGGGTGTTACTTTCTACCGAATAAAGTAGAAATACACCGAGTGTGCCATGTAAAAATCAAAAGTTAAGTTCTTTAAGTTAATCTTTAAGTTGTGGTCATTTCCCGTCAAACAGGAAGTGACCAAAAACTATTGAATACGTCAATTAATCCTAATTTATGTCATATACTAACATACCAAATCTCGTTTTTTATGCGAAAAAATAAAAAAGTTATAGGTGTGTGCTATTTTTGAGATGCACTCGGTGTTTATTTTTTTAGAGGATAAGAAAACAAGATTTGGTGTATTAGTATCTGACATAAATCGGGATTAATTAAATCGGGACATATCATGTGTCAACTTTTATTATAAAAAACAAGAAAAAAGTATTTTACATTTCAATCTAGAGTGCCGTGGTTGGGTTAAATTCATTAATTTTGAATAAAGAAGCCTTGAAAAACTAGATTTGATCGTCTAATCCTTTTCGTGTTTTTTCTTGGCCGGTAAAAGATGCCCAAATCGTATTTTTAATCTTAACTATTCTTTTTCAAATGGTACAAGGGTGGCTCATTGCACTGTGGCTCAAAAAGTATTTTTTACGAATATTTTGGTACCACATACTTGATATTTCGAGTATTTCGAGTCAAATTGTCCCTATATTGTCGTGGCACTCTATCCTCAATCATGTCAACTTTTGATATTTTCGCTTAGTATTTTAACTTTCAATCTAGAGTGCGAAATATTAACTAAAAATTAAAAAAAGGATAAATTGTTGAATAAGTTAGAATGCAACAAAATAAAAATAAATCAGTTCCAACATTATTCGTATTACCATCGTTATACATGTAGGTATTTTTTAAAAAAGGACAGGCATTTTATCATACCATTTTACACCTATTCTGATAATCGCAAAATACGCAAGCGAGTAATGACAATTTAAATTATTGTTGGCGAAATATGCTACTTTATATGTAAGCCCAATCGCGGGAAGGTTATTTTAATAATTGCGAAAAAAATATATTTATTTGTTGTTACTATACCGTTACTCGAAGCACTAGTACCGGGACATATAAAATTTTAAATTTTTTATTATATAAAAAATAAAATCTTTATTGCCAATGGTATAATATAGTGTGGCTATTGCTTTGTTTTATCAGTGCGTAAGATAAAAGATAACAAATTAATCAGACCTTATCAGCAACAATCCTTTCATAATTCCGCCAAGTTGTCTCAACACATTCTGATCACAAATATGGTAAGTTTTTTCAAAATAATTTTTGGAAATTTTCGCAAAAAAATCAAATTTTTAGTGTTATCCTTGGTCATGAATTTGAAAAACTACAATATGGCAAAAACTCACTTAGTATTGATTGATTAATCCAACTGTAATTTTTATTTAATGCAATATTAGTTATTAAAATGAGCGTAACAGTGTCTATGACGGTTATTTTAATTAGTGTATAGACATTAAACAGAAATTTAAAAAAAAAAATTACAAATATCCACAGAATAGTTTACTCCAATAATTCTATATAATATAGTGGTGTGATACAAAGTCTTGTTAAGGTATTAGTGCAATTTAAATTAAGTTTGTTGTACAGGGTGGGTCAAATTGGATGCTTTTAAAGGGAAACACCCTTTTCTATAGGAGATCGACGAAAACTAATATCGGTGTCTGGAGCTCAATTTTTATCAAAAACATGATGGTGAAAGTCGCACATCGATATTTTTTTAACAAATCGCTGTAACTTTTTTGCTATGGAAAATTTTGTATTTTTATGAAAACATTTCCAAAGCACCTTTTTACGTAGAATAACGTAGTTTAAGTACAATTTTTTTAAAATTAATAATTTAAGAATTATCAACAGAAAATTTCATTTTTTATATGGGACACCCTGTATATTTGTAATTTATTGAAAATAATTTAAAATTACCTTTCCAAAAATATAACACACTTGATATTTTGCTCGATTCCTCTTCGAGATATAGGGTATATAAAAATTCGCCGGCTTTAAATAAGTAGGCTTTGAACGACACCGGCTGTAATGCAAAAAAATTCTAGCTGTGAACATCAATTAAAAGGAAAATAATATTTGCTATGAGAGATGCAGAATTTTATAACAATTTAAAATATATTTAACCAACATCAACACATTTAAACTAAATCTAATAACAATAAAAATAAATAGCAAACCAAGGCATGAGATTTTGCTACAGGTGTTCGACATATCGACCGTCTTCTGTTATGGACAGACGGGGCAGTTTTTGAACATTTCCCGCGAAATTCATTAACTCAGTGGGTGTGAAAGATACCCTCTTATAACTGCTAAGTATTTTTAATTTTGTCTAGATTATACGGACGAATAAGGAACCTTATTCTTCCGCAAATATATCCAGGATTAGATCCATGGGAACTAAGTCAGGCTGCCTGGACGGCCAACGGCTGGGATCTTGATTAGCCATCCAATTATTCTTGAAATTGGCTGCAAAAATTTGCTAACTTCAGCGTTCAGAGGCGGTGCGTCGTCTGCTGGAAAAATATGTTGAGTTCCATTAGGGGCTTGCCAATAAGGGGTCCAGCCTACTAGTTAAAAGTTAAAAGTGGCGAACTTTAAAAGTTCTGTATTTCATGAATTATTACAAAATATGAAGTGCTATATTTTGGGAAAGGTAATTATACTTCGTTAATTAAAAATATAGAGGTGTCCCAAATAAAAAATCAATTTTCATTGATAACTCATAAATTATTAATTTTAAAAAAATGATACTTAAACCATTAAATTCTACGTAAAAGGTGTGCTTTGGAAACGTTTTCATGGAAATACAGTTTTCCAGAGCAAAAGCAGCGATTTGCTAAAAATGCACATTTTGAAAACACCCTGTAACGCCGAAACGGTAACAGATATTGATGAGTGGTTTTCACCATCATGTTTTTGATGAAAATTGAGCCCAGACACCGATATTAGTTTATCATTTCTATAGAAAACGGTGTTTCCATTTAAAAGTTACCGAATTTGACCTCACCCTGTACATTAGTGTTTCATAGTTATATTAACTAAAAAATTAAATAATCTCTCGAATAATCCCAAAATAAGAGCTTGTATAATATAGTTAGATATATATGTTGCTAAGATTAAAATTGCGGAAATTATAATTATGCTAAATTTGATGTGATGTTTATTAAATGTGTTAGTTTTAATAAACTATTACAATGGTGTGGTTCCAAAATATAATATGTGTATATTATACATTACATACTTACATACTTAGTGTAGTATATTATACCAAATAAATAAAACAAAGTCAAGTTACTCCGTTTAGAACTACTCAAGAATGTCTGGACCGATTTTTATCTCCGCCCCGAATAGCTGATTAATTATTAAAATATCGGAAAAATTAACGGAAAAAATTATACGGAAAATTTATTATTAAAAAAATTAGGTTTGGAACTATGCCATCTTTCCCAATTGACAGCTAACGTCGTGCATAGACGCATAGCTTGTTTGTAATAATTGATGTCCACTGTAAATCAGTGACATACTAGACATTATACAGGGTATTCAAAAAAAAATAAAAAAAAATTAGAATAAAAACTTAGAACTTTTGTTTGGCGTAGTCTCCAGTGAGCGTACCAGATTGTATGTCGAAAATATTTAATCCTAGGTGGCTCAGGGTAGAGTGATCGGAATTTTTAATGAACACCCTGTATATTATTGCATTTTTGACTTTCTTTCAGATCATTTTACAGAATCCTAAGATATAATAAGCTAAGAGTAAATACATTTCGATAGTTTCAGAGATATTAATAAATAAAGGGTGTCCAAAATTTACGTCAAATTTTCTAAATCCAGGCAAAATAATTTTCTTTGTTTTTTTTTTAATGGAAATAATGGAAAATTTTTTTAATGGTTTCGGCAGATATACGCAGTATTATTTGAGATGGCACTCTCAACGGTAAATACTTTAGAAAAATCAATGTGTAGCTTTACAAAATTTTACTGTAGAGAGATAGAAATATAAAATCGCGAATATCTGCAAAACCAAAATTTTGAAATACCTTTTTTAAAAAAAAAAAAAAAAAAAAAAAAAAAAAAAATTTATTGAAAAATAATATACAGTATTCCATTTAAAAAAACAAAAAAAAATTATTTGATATTTTAGAAAATTAGGCGTGTGTATTTATCTTGTATGATTTGTTGACTATTTATAATAAGTAAGTATAGACCATCTAAAATAAATACCTAATATACTTTTGATTTCAAGACAGTTCTGTATTTTTACTAATTTTTAAGAAAGGCTGGAAAATTTATATTTTATTTATTTATTAACCTCTGAAAATATCAAATAATATTATAAACATAAAAAAAAAAAAAAAAAAAAATGTAATAATATACAGGGTGTTCCTTTTAACAAAATGCATCCCGATCCACTCATACTTTCTTGAGGCACCATATAATATTTTCCTGAAATACATCCTAGTACATACAGGTTTGCCCTTAAACAAAATTCCCAAGTTTTTTATTCTAGGAGCTACACATGCCCGACGCACTATTGCCGTACCCTGTATTTAACTTGTTCATCAGAATGATTCTGTAAGAAAAAGGATTTAGAATAATTATCAATAAAATTTAGTTACTACTGTATTAAGTGAAAAGTTTTTTCCATTATTTTTCAATCAATATTTCCATCCAGGTAATGGAGTATTCCTAAAATGCCTCCACGACTCTCAGCCCGCAAGTTCGTCCTAGCTTTCCTCGTGGTTATCGGAGTGACGGTCTTGGTGGGTACCAAGTACAACTTGTCTCATCTGGTCAACAAATCCGCACAACCGTTGGTTCAAGTGTTTAAAAATGAACTCGGAGCTCAAACCCAGAGACCAGAAGAACAAGAGGTAGGTTCTATATAGAGTGTCTGTGCTATTATTGTTTAATTTACATTTTTGTTTTTGTTTATTTTAAGGAATTTCTCGATAACAACATATTCGAGGAGCCGGAAAAAACAGTGAAACCTCCAGAAAGGCCGTGGTTCCTGCCTGATGGTACGATTTACCCTACGAAAAGTAAAGGACCTCCAAGACTGTTTCCTGATCAAGCCGATGGAGATAGGATTTATGATCAGTTGATGTACATGCCAGATGACTATCAAGGTAAGCATATTCACACTGATAACTAATGACAAACCGTTCAACCTTTTAATAGTATTACATACGAGTTTGTATTTTAAGATAAGATCCGTTATAAGTATATACCGGGTGCTAACTTAAAGTGGCTTCCACCTATAACTTTTATTTGTTCAGATAAAAAACGTGATTTGGTATGTTAGTATATGACATAAATTAGATTGATTGTATCTAATTGTTTTCGGTTCCTTCCTGTTTCACCGAAAATGACTAAAATTTTGATTTTAAATGGCATCCTCTTGAATTTTTTGGCCTCTTCTAGGTTTTTCCATGCTTCGATCTCTAGCCAATCTTATCCATTGACTTCCCGCCACTGCCCTGATGTCATCGACCCATCTCTTTGGTCGGCCCACACTTTTTGTTGTTCCCCTAGGTCTCCATAGGATTACTTTTTGGGGCCATCGGTCTGGACCCTCTCTTGCCACATGTCCTATCCATTGCCACTTCAGACTTGCCACTCTTAACGACATCTATTAATTTTGTTTTTGACGTATGTGGGTATTCCGTAATTTTCTCTAATGGTGACTCCCAACATGATTCTTTCCATAACTCTTTGTGCAACTCGCAGTTGTTCAGCTGTTTTTCGGGTAATTGCCATAGTATCCAAGCCATACGTAAGCACATGTAGAATGCAGCTGTCGTAAGCCCTTTTCTTTAGGTTCATGGGCACCTTTTATCCTTGAAAATATTGCTCATATTTCCAAATGCTACTGGATCCTGCGTTTGATCTCCATATTTTGGTTTTCCTTGCCCAACTTGATTTTATGACCCAAATATATATAATGAATCTACGTTTTCAATAATAACGTTGTCAACGGTAATGTTATGGATATTGCTGCTCATTATCTTGGTCTTTCAAGTTCATTTTGGCACCAATTTTCTGGGATTGGTCATTTAGTTCATTTAGCATGGTATTTAGTTCTTGAATGTCGGTGCTCAGCAAGACAATATCGTCTGCGAACCTCAGATGGCTAAGGTGTACCCCCATGTTTAGACCTCTATTTTCCCATTCTAATTTCTTGAAGGCATTTTCCAGTGCCAGTGTAAATAACTTAAGAGAGATGGTATCTCCTTGTCTCACGCCCCTGCCGAGTGGTATTTTTTCTGTTTTGAGGTCATCATCTAATTTAATTGGAAGGTTGCACTATCATAGATATTTTTAATAATGGTATAATACCTTGAATCAATTCTCGCGTCCTCCATTGCAGCTAGAAATGACCAGGTTTCGATGCTGTCAGAGGCTTTTTGGTAGTCTACAAAGGCCAAAATTAGCGGTATACGGTAATTTGCTGTTTTTTCAATGACTGCTTTAATTGTTTGTAGATGATCGATGGTACTAAAACCTTTTCGAAAGCCTGCCTGTTCTAATGGCTGATAGGAATCTAGTTTCGTAGACAGTCGGTTGTTGATAATCCTAGTGAAGAGCTTGTATAGATGCGAGAGAAGGCTTATTGGTCTATAATTCTCTATATTTGTAAAATCTCCTTTTTTGTATAATAGCACAACTTATGCGTTTTTCCATGCGTCCGGGATTCTTCTACTTCTTTGTCATATATTAACATACCAAATCTCGTTTTTTATCAAAAAAATAAAAAAAGTTATAGGGATGAGCCACTTTTAAGACGCACCCGGTATATATCGTAATATGTAATTACAAGTCCGGTAAATTAAGTTTTACAGTATGAGTGAGATATTTATTAAGAATTTCAAAACAAATACTGTAAAAGTTAATTGAGGCCAAATTTTATTGACGTACAATTTTATTTCATACTGTTATATGTAGGGATAATAGTATATTGTTTTATTAGTATAAAAATGAGAATTCTTATGACGAGGCTATATCTTTAATGTTATAAGCGAGGCAAAAAGTACAATACAACATTTTTTAAATGTCACAAATAAGCACAAAATACCATAAACACTTTTTCATAAGTATTTATATTTTTAATAACTGTTTGTAATCTACTTTATATTAACCAATTAACAAACATAACATATACAATAATTTTATATACTAATTAATTCTAATAAAATTGTTTGATAAACATATTGCAATTAGATTCCTGCAGATTGAGTGAAAAGTTTTTGTTCTTAAATATCTACTCTACATGTTATATACGCGTGTTCAAATATTAATTTGTGGATAGCTCAAACGAAACAAAATTGAACGAGGTAACAGGAAACGCCACAAAAAACCCATGCCTTGCCTAACAGAGTAGTTTTCCGGCGCTTTTAAGAATCGAAAGTAAGTCGAAGCAAACCGAAGTAGGTCAAGACAACTAGAAATAAACCGAAACGCGACAAAGTTGGGTGTCGAAACGCGACCTTGGCCTGCTTCGAAGAATTCTCTGCACTATTGTAGAGCGTGTTTAAGGTTGTGCACCCCAAAGCACCCAAGCGCCGCTACTGATTTCGCAGTATTAAAGAATCGCCCTTTTTATACAGCACAAATATTATTAAAAAAGCAATCAAATTTAATTATTTTGATGGTTCGTGTTAGATCGATGTTTATTCATCATTCACAATTCATCACCTTAAACGTCAGTTTTTTTGTGCCTCAAAGTTTCCTTTAATTAAATAAAAACTAAGAAATTAATTTTTGCAGTTCGATAAACTTTGAAAGAACAAGATAAATGACCTGAAAACCTTTCCAGAGAACATAAACGAGGAAAATTTAGCGCAAAGAGTTTTGCAATTTAACAAAAACCTTCAAACAAAATGGAGTTTTAATGTTTGTGCTAGTAAACGCATTTTCAAGCATTTAATTGGCCTTTTTAGTGAGATATAAACTGGCAAACTTTTCCCGAGCTAGGTTTTCAACATTATTCTATGGCGATAAGGGAAGATGAGATAATATTATTGACCTAAATTCATCACTGTTTTTAAACAAATCCAAAATTTTTTTTTTAGATATTTAAAAAAATGGGCGATTGAGGTTTTAAAAGCAAATAAAATCTTATTCAACCTGAAAGTACCTGATCTGTATTCTGGGTGTGCGACTGGATATTAGGAACGCTATTTGGGATCTCTCAAAAACGGTAAGAGATACAGGGTGGCTTAATTTAGGGCAAGTGTTAAGGAAGTCAGTTCATCGACTTAAAATAAAACATATTTTAAGTCTATGGTTCAGTTTAATAATTGATCACACCCTTGGAATTTCTGAAAATATAAGAGTTAACTAGAATTTTTCGTCTCAGTTATTATTATATATCTCAGTTTTCGTAAGATATATCCTATCTAAGTTGTTACATGTTGTTACTTTATAAATATATACTGCAAATCAAAATCACGTTTATTATACATACCATCGCTATCTTCAAGCAATAAAACTAAATAAATCGTGTGTACACTGCACACATTCAATTACATTTATCTCTTTTTTAGTACAAACTAGTATTAGATAATTAAAGAGGAATCGCATATTTTATTGATTCGGGACTAGAGATACTAATAAATGTATTTAACGTTATTCAAGTCCTGACATAATATCATTTTAGATTTACACCTGTAATTTCTATTAAACCTATTAATATAAAAACAAGCAGAAAATAATTCAAATACACCTGAAAGGCCTGAGCACAACGAACCAAGGAAAAGATAAATTTGTCAAGAAATAGTCAAATATAATTTACAAAAAAGCAGCTGTTCTAAAATGGTTAACATGGCGCCTTTTCAATCCTTAATATATGATTATAATAATAGTTATTAGACTCAGTCATTACTCCATTATTCAGTGTTATATTAGGTGAATTTAATAAGTGCAAATATTTTTTTTGTGGGCTGGTAAAATATCGATAAAAGAAACATATTTTTCTTTTACCGTTTTTCAAATAATTCCAAAATAAACTGAGAGTTATTTTAGTTTGAAAATAAAATATATATTTTTAAGTTTAAGTTTTGAGAACCACTGATTTTTTTTTTTTTTTTTTTTTTTTTTAAATTTAATTTACTATCCATATTGCTATATTATCAAGATATTATGTTTTTCAACTAAAATTAAACCAAACCAGTTTTTTAAGAAATTCTAAAATTGAAAAAATTTTTTTTTTGCGAAACAAACCTCATAGTCGTGTTTCTGGGTCGAATTATACTAAATGCAAATATTTGCCCACTTATTTAAGACTCTCTATAAATAATTCTGTTGATGGTATCAAATAACATAAAAAAATATAAATGTGTATAAAGCAAGTTTTAATCGATTAGTTTACTAATTGCTGAAAGTATTTTACGTGGAGAAAACAACTGCATATAAATTTTTGCATGCAGTTGTTAATGTTCCGTAGCCGGTTGTTCTAAATTGGATCCAGTCCAACCTAATATACAACGAAACATATTTGTTATACTTTTTGCTTTTAATCGTAGATTGCAAATGTTCGTGCCAAAGTAAGGGAAGAATGAAATGTAATCACTCAATTATTTTAGTATTGCGTTTTGTAAAATATTTTATGTGGATTACACATTTACATTTCTATAAGTAGGGAGTCATATTGATATCGAAATCAAATCTCTTCTCAAAACTCCCAGACAGGGAAATCAAAAACTCCCAGACATACATTTTATCCAAATATTGACGTTACTTCAGAAATTATTTAGAAAAAATTGAAAAAAATGAAACTTTTACACCCTGTATCAGCAGTATATGCTGCCGAAGTTTGGGGAATGGCAGTTCGGACCATCCTGAATAGCAAAGGATCGCTGTATTTGACATATTATTTGTGTTTTAGGGTACGACTCGCCGGAAAAGACGATCTTGCTGTACAACGGATTCAGCGGCTGGGGCCAGAAAAAGGGCAGTGCAGCATTTCACGAATGCCCTATCAGTAGATGCACTTTGACTGCGGATAGGAGCAGGGCTTCCGATGCAGACGCAATTCTGTTTAAAGACAGAGTTGTTCAGCCTCCGGTGGACAGGCCTATGAAACAGGTAATGAAGGCATGATTTATGTATAAACAAATCGCTAGACGCTTTGTATTTCATGGGATGAGAGGCATTCTAAAATTGTCATTTTATACTAAATATGTTATTATCTTTGAAAAAGAAGAGTGAGGAATTCTACAATAATGAACAAACTTATTGCAAACGCTACGCCATCTCGTATCAAAAATAGTTCATATCATTCCAATCTGTCCTTATTCATTAACTAATTCTATTATTTCAGGTGTGGATATTATATCACTTGGAGTGTCCGTACCATACGCAAAGCGTCAAAATTCCGGATTCGATAAACTGGACCTCAACATACAGGAGAGACAGCGATATCGTAGCTCCATACGAATATTGGATGTACTATGATCCAGAGTGTAAAGCCCTTTGTTGTTATTATTACTTTTTGTTATGATAATTGTTTAGAAAATTAAACTTTTCTTTTGCAAACAAATTTCAATTTTTAAACTTAGCAAAGGTGGGTTTATATGTATCCGTCATGCGTCGTTCGTCGTTCCGTCACATCAATCGTGTTGAGGTAGTAGCTGTCATTTTGAAATAAACCAATAAAATTCTATAAAATCAACGACGGACGATAAAAAACGGATGCATATAAACAGTATTACGTAACTGGAAACGGAAGCATACTGA